AAATGTAAAATGGGTTGTAAAGAAATTGACTTTACGAACCATAATATGCCAATTGTGGATAAAGATAATAAATTTGTACATGCAACTCCATCAATTTGCAAAAGAAAAAAAAAATCCTTACAGGCTATTAGCATGCTGTATATCAGCTTCAAGAGCTTTGAGAGATTCCCTGAAAGAAGATTTATTGGGCTGTTTTTGCAACATTGATTCTCCCCTTTTTGAGTTATGAGATAAAAAGGAGAGGAAAAACAAAAACAAAAAGGGTTGGGGAGCAAGAATGATAAAAAGACTGGCCTTTGTGGTGAATGGCTTGTGGGTTTGCTGTTGGAATAATGGAATTTGGTGGACAGGACTTATGGGGAAGACTTTTGAAAAGAGACAGAGAGAGAGAGAGCTTGCTTAGTGTTCAAACCTTTCACATTTCAAGAAAAGAAAAGGATACCTTCTCTTTGATTCTATCTAATGAATCTTTTCTTTGCCTTCATTATTTCCTCAACTGCACTTTGGGGCTGCCATTATCCCCCAAGTCTGACCTTTCCTACTAGTTGGCTCCTAATAATTATTTCTTATCTAGAATCAGTATTAAAAACTTGAATTTGAAAAAGAGAAAAAAGAAAAAGAAATAAAGCTGGTAGGGATTAAATAAGCATTAGTTAATGAGAAACATTAGGATAGCTCATGTTGACAAGGACCTGAAAAATATTGAAAATTGCAGGCTCAAGCTCAACGAACTCAATCATGCAGGCCCATCCTTTGTTCCGGTCTTGGTAAGAATGGCCTGTGATTTTTAGTTCAAAAGCCAGGGCCACATACCAGCCCTCTGGCCTAGCCATGGCGCTTATAGATTAAAAAAAAAAGGGGCTGAAATTACGCTGTCATGATCACTCAGCATTCAGCACATGAGGGTCACTCTTAGACAGATGGTTTCCTCTGTTATATAGAATGAAATGGTTTAACCTTGTTGAATGCTGAGAGAGGTCCAGTAAGAGGGGGGCATGTGGGGGGCCCTGGCAGCAATGAGGCACTTCACCTAATCTGTTGCCCTGTTGGGTCCTCCATACATAAATGCTAGCAGCATCCATTACCTCCTATTTACACCTAAAGATTGTAATAGTTTCAGACGCATCTTTTTCGTTTAGAACTAACATTAATTTGTTACATGTACCTTTTTTGACTGTGATGGGTCGAATGCTATGTGTTTGGGGCGTAGGGCCGTTCCTAGGAACCGACCCTGTAGTTAATGTTAGTTCTAGCGGTGATTCCCCAATTAAGACCGCTAATCAAATCTTCAACAGTGTTTTTTCTGGTGATTCAAAGTTTGGGCTTTAGGAGTCCATAGAACAGGCAAAGGCACATCTACTACTAGCAATTTGGCCTGTTGGGTTCTCATGATTGTCCACCAAAGACTTGCATAAAGAAACGGGAAAAAAAAACCTATTGGAGTTGATGAGCTGGGAATATACAGATTAAATACAATTAGGTTCCTTTTGAGTATGGCATGGCCCATTAGTTTGGTACATGCTAACATGCAAAGAGTGAGACTAATTTTGCCAAAAACGACACAAAACATGGGGCAGGATTGCCAAATTTTGGACATCAACTATTATTGATTGGTCATATCTTGATTAGGGAAACGCAGACATGGCTCACACGAGCGGCCTTGAAACATGTAAACCTCACGAACCCCGAAATGGAAGGCCCACTTTTGATTTTTGTTTTTATATTTGACAAAGACGAGAAGGCGGTCCAGAAGTATCCGCACCACCGCGTCAATTCTGGGCTAAGTGTCTAAATTAATTAACGAGGTTCATAGGGGGACCCTTGGAGATTGCGTATTGCATCACCTCACCAAGACAAATTAAAACATCTTTTTCGATTATAACCTTTTTCTTCCCTGTAACATAAAACAGTTGACGACCATTTTTACCTGTTGTCGCTCTCGAAATTAATGCTTACTTGTTTCTCGCAATTGTACCAAAAACTTATCGCCTGCCAAGAACTTGCTCTTTTTTGTATTGTTTTAGTACTAAGAAATTTCACTTTGAAGCCACTTTTCTTTATGAATAAGGGAAACCCAATTTTATACTAGCAATTTCCTCCACCATATTAAGCTAGCGGCCCATGGAAGTCACTGCTCCATTCAAAATCCTGATTTGGTGGGAAAACCAATCCTTAAAACGTTAACAAAGATAATAATAATAATGCATGACTGAGGTGTCCAGTTGTCGAGAATATGTTTAAGGTAGACCATTAGATTATTTGGCCATATATAAAGAAAAAAAAAAGTTTAAAAAAAAAACAATTGGATCAGGATGGAAAAATGGGACCCAGCTTAGATATCATGTTTGCATGAAAATAACTCTCCATCTTTCCTACTTTTCCTAAAGCTACAAAAGGTGCAGACAAGTTGCGCCAAGGGACATGAAAAGAGTATCTGGGTTTGCATAAAGCAAAAGCAAAATTAAAGATAAAGTATGATAGTAGGTTAGAGGGGCTACATTACACTGCCTACACGTACTTTCTTTACAGATGCTTTTTGCATGGCTAACTTGCCCTCCCCAATCCCTGTCCAACACGGTCATAACCAACAAAACAGTACTACCTGGTAAAAAGAATACACCATTAGCTTTTCCTTGGGCTGATAAAGTTTTTAACCATGAGTAGTTTAATGTTTTCCGAGAGGAGGTGGTTAAGTGTCTTTTTCTTGGTTTGTCCAAGGAAACGGTCAAAGTTAAGTGACTTGAGTCTCATGTGTCAAACTTTTGTAATAAATCATCGATCAGAACTGTTTGATAGTACTCTCTGAGAATAGAAAGAGATTAATGTTCAATAGCTGCAAGGTTTTTATTTTTCCTACCTCTTTCTTTATATATATATATATATTCTCCAAAAGTAAGCGTGAAATCTTTAATTCTTGGGAAAAGGAGATTCCAATATCAAAGAAAATAAAAAAGAAAGAAAGAAAAAGAAACAAACGTGAATGAACATTTCACAAACTCATCAATCAGAAAAAAAGTGAAGGGTAAGTGGAGTAAAGATGGGCTAAGATGCTCAACTCAAAACCCACAGTTTCTTTTAGTGAAATCATAGGCCTAAAAATAAAAGATCAAAAGAATCAGTTTTGCCTTGCTGATCTTCAATGGCTTTATTTACGCAGTTAATACTGATACTATATCTCCACTTTATATCCTCTGTTGTGTCCCAAGTTACAGGTATGTTTTGTTTCTAAATCTGTGTATTCGTGGAATTCCAGGATTGTTTTGTTCATTCAACTTCATGTAATAGTATGAACTAAGTGGAGCCTTCATATTCTAAAATGTCATTTGCCATGTAATATGAGTGAAGGATTAGGCAAAGAAGCTGAGAATAGATATCAAAATGAACTCAACCTGCTTGTTACCATTTTCTTCCTTTTTGTTGCTCTAAGTAGAGCAGTGAATATTATAGATCACCATAATTTAATTGTGACCTGCAGAGTTTATCAGTTTAGACTGTGGAAGCACAAGTAACTACACTGATCCTAGTACTGGACTAGGATGGAGTTCAGATATCGATATCATGAAACATGGAAGACTAATACAGGTGCAAAATCCCAAGGGAAACTGGATGCAATATCGAACTCGAAGAGACTTTTCTTCAAACAGCAAGAAGTACTGTTACAACTTGAGTACCAAGGAGAGAAGGCGGTACCTAGTTCGTGCAACATTTCAGTATGGCAGCCCTGAAAATGAAGATGCATATCCAAAATTTGAGCTCTATCTCGATGCAACTGAGTGGGCAACTGTCATAATTCAGGATGCCTCCAGAATATATGTGAATGAAATGATCATCAGGGCACCTTCAGATTCTATTGATGTTTGCATATGCTGTGCAACAACTGGTTCTCCTTTTATATCTACTCTTGAGCTCCGGCCCTTGAATCTTTCTATGTATGCCACAGATTATGAGGATAATTTCTTCTTAAACGTTGCAGCGAGAGTGAACTTTGGTGCTCTAACTAAGGACGTAGTGAGGTAAATATCCTCTGCCTTTGTATCTGACAATAGTTTGGTGAGAAACGTTTTTAATCCGGTTTGCAAGTTTTTGACGCAAAAAGAAAAGCAGTTAGATACACAGGCTAAACAGAACGAATTGATGCTCTTCAATTTTAGCATGTTGAACCGCTTTGCATCATGGCTTGTTTTACTGCAAATATATACAGCCAATTGGTGGCATCAGTGCTAATTTATCAAAATGGGCTCTGCATTTACAGGTACCCAGATGATCCTTACGACAGAATTTGGGAATCTGATCTTGATAGGAGACAAAATTTTCTTGTAGGAGTGGCCCCTGGAACAGAAAGAATCAGGACATCAAAGAACATTGATATAATGACTAGAGAATATCCGCCTGTTAAAGTAATGCAAACGGCAGTTGTTGGCACTAAAGGGGAGCTCAGCTACAGATTGAACCTGGAAGGGTTCCCTGCCAACGCTCGAGCCTATGCATACTTTGCTGAAATTGAAGACTTGGCTCCAAATGAAACCCGGAAATTCAGACTGCAAGAGCCTTACATACCTGACTATAGCAACGCTGTGGTAAACATAGCTGAGAATGCCAATGGGAGCTACACTCTTTATGAACCCAGCTACATGAACGTTACCCTGGATTTCGTTCTGTCATTCTCCTTTACCAAGACCAACGATTCTACTAGAGGACCCCTCCTTAGTGCAATTGAGATAAGTAAATACCAGCAGATTGCTGCGAAGACCGACAGGCGAGATGGTAAGATGACCTTGGGGTGTTTGGAATATAAAACTTTTCCAGCTGTTTGCACAGCTGTAGTGGAGAGAATAATTAGGCATGGGAAATCACAATTTGATCATAATGCACATAAACATGTATATTCAAGGAATTTGCTTCTCAAGATGAGCTGATGACTCACTATTTCTTCAATTGTCAGTGACTGCTCTCAATGCCCTTCGCTATATGTCTGCTGAAAGCGTTTGGGCAAATGAAGGAGGTGATCCTTGTGTTCCAGCTCATTGGGAATGGGTAATTTGCAGCTCAACAGCGCCACCAAGAATAACAAAAATGTAATGCATTCATGTTGGTAAATTTCTTGTTCATTCTAGAACTTACTTTCCTGCTCTGCATATCTATGATTATCAAAACAACCTTGTTACTTAGTATTTACACTGGTCCTAATATTCTTCATAGAATTTGATGAGTTTTTGAACTAGAAATACCTAGTTTTCCAGACCACTACCGGTTTCTCATACGTACCAGGATCTGATAATTCTTCATGTTTCCCTTAAGCAAGAGTAGGGGTTGAGCAAGTTGATTACACATGTGGTACAAAAATTCTTTGCATGTTAAATATTGAAAGCATAAATGCAGAAAAGTAGAATTTCTCATATTGTAAGAGTTATGCAGAAATTAATTCTACTAACCTCATGAACAGTGCACTCTCAGGACAGAGTGTGAAGGGACAAATTCCCTCTGAGTTTAATCACATGGATGAATTGACTGAGTTGTAAGTGTTATTATGCAAACATCTGAGATTTAATTTTTTGGAATTTATCCTACTACAATCCACTGAAAAGCTCTCATCTTCTTTAGGTGGTTGGACTCCAACTCCTTAACAGGGCCACTCCCTGATATGAGTAACTTTATCAATCTAAAAATTGTGTAAGCTCTCCACTTCACGGTATACATTTGTATTAATTTTCATCAGGAATTCAGGATTGTGCTTTTCACGGTAATGCTTGTTCCATTCTGCGCTTGTAATGAGTATTGACTGGTTCCTAACTTGCATCCTTTAATGTGCATGCAGACATTTGGAGAATAATAAGTTTACTGGTCCACTACCTTCCTACCTTGGTCGATTGCCTAACTTGCAAGAATTGTATGTAGAATTCTTGATTTCTTAGCTATTTCTGGGCCATTTAACAGAACAAGTGCATGTTTTGTTTTCCACAAAATGCTAATAGAAGCAGATGTTAGGCATTTTTTCCTGATATATATATATATATCTATCTAAAGCTTCAGTAATAGGGGAATCTCTATGTTGCAGGTACATACAGAACAACTCTTTTTCTGGGGAAATACCCCAAGCATTGCTAAACAGGAAAATAACTTTCAAGTGAGTATGTTTAGTTGCAATTCATCTTAAGCTCTAGCAAAGTGGTCCATATTTTAGGAGTGATTTACCTTTTCCATTTTAGTAGATAAAAGGCATAACTGTTTGTAGTTTCATAACTGTTAATAGTGTCATGTTTAAAAACTTTTGGTTATCTTTTGCTCGTAGCTGGGTTTGAGGTGAATTTTTATTCCCTCTCTTCAATGAATGATTTCGTTGCTATGCAAAAAAAAAAAAATAGTGTCATGTTACATTAGAATCAGAAACAATAAAAATGAACCCGATGAAATGCTGTTAAATGTGTTCTCCCAACTGACATCTTAGATTTTATAATGCTCATTTTCACAACACAGACAAGCACCAATTCACAAAGTTTATATGACTTCTAAAACTATTTTGCACAAAAAGAACCGAACTCTTTTGGGATCGCATTTCACCAACAAATGATGGTAGTGTGATACCCTCTACACTAGTGCTGTTGAAAGACTCTAGGTCAAGGAGATGACTACCCTGATATACCATTTTTGGTATTATAATCCTGAAATTATGATTACGTGTCACAAATTTTATAGCAGTTCAATGTGATCCAGTCAGCAAATTTATAAACAGCTCTATGTCTTCTCTTGCAGCTATGAAGGTAATCCTGGACTACATAACGAGGCACAGAGAAAAATGCGTCATAAGTTGATAGTGGGAACCTCGATTGGAGTGCTTGCAGTTCTACTAGTTCTTTTCTTGGGAAGTTTAGTATTGTTCCGTAATCTTCGAAGGAAGATGTCTCACCAGAAATGTGATGAAAATGGTTTGCACACTTAATCACTCATTACTTGCCATTATACAATGTGCAGACCTTAACATTTCCAAACCTGATTCCTGTTTTCATCAGGTCATGCCTTGCACTCTAGAACCAAACCCTCAACAGCCTATTCAATTGCACGGGGGCATTTACTGGACGAAGGTGTAGCATACTATATCCCATTGTCTGAGCTGGAAGAAGCAACTAACAATTTTAAACAACAGATCGGCAAAGGAAGTTTTGGATCTGTCTACTATGGCAAAATGAAAGATGGAAAAGAGGTAGCAGTCAAGACAATGGGTGATTCGTCTAGCCATTTGAATAAGCAATTTGTGACTGAGGTAGTGTGCCAATCAGCCGTTTTCTTCTAACTTTCTTTACATATTCACATGACAGCAAACCTATAATTTGTTGGCCGTACTGGTACCTTCAATAGTTCCATTTTAAAATGGAATAGAATTCACCTCAGTAATCCACAAATAATGAATTCATTAACATTGTACCTGCAGTAGGGAGTACTAATTTGAAGCCAACTCCTTAACATGGACTAATTTTTTATCCTTTTGCCCTATGCAAAAGCTGTAAATTTCCTATTTGCATTACAAGTTGAGAATTTTGACAGAGCATTTTTTTAAGAGAACATCAGAGGTTTAGATTCCTGTATCCTCAGTTCTATCCGCAGGTGCCCAGAGAAAAGTTCTGTCATTGTGTAATGGAAGGAAGTTGACATTCTCCATTATTCCATAAAGTTAAGTTAAAAACAAAAGGCAGGAGAGTGAGAGCATCTTCATGAACTAAATTTGTGTGCTGAAAGTTTCCTATGGCTTTGTTGCAATATTGTTGAGGCCAGGCAGGCCTCTTGGAAGGATCCATGGTTTGTTTTTTAAACCATCCATACCAGATGTAGTTGGCTTCCCTAGGTAATCCAACCAATAAAGCAGATACCTGACCTGAAGGAATATTCTCTCTGTAAATATTTTACATGGAAGATAATATAGAGATGGCTGCTGTGCAAATACTGATTCAATTAAAACTTTTTGATGATATGATCTTTTATCTGGAAGTGAAATGCTCAATCAGCAAGAGGTATAACTATTGATGATTAACCGAAATAATTTAAAGAATTCAATATAGAAGTAAAGCTTTTGTATTTACCTCACAGTACCTTGTTTAACTGATGGCGAACACATGCTTGCAGGTTGCCCTCTTGTCAAGAATTCATCACAGAAACTTGGTTCCTCTAATCGGATACTGTGAAGAAGCACATCAACGGATATTAGTTTACGAATATATGCACAATGGAACCTTGCGGGATCACATCCATGGTCTGCTTCTCTATCGGGAAATAAATCTGTTTATCTTCCGTCTCTCTCTTTTCAATTTAAAATCTATGGATATCATGGCAGGTTCAGTCAACCAGAAGCAATTGGATTGGCTTGCTCGTTTACAAATTGCAGAGGATGCAGCTAAAGGTTTGGAATTGAAGTTCTCATTTACTGTTGCATTAATATTTAGTTTTTAAGTATAAACACAAATTTAGATTTCTGTAGGCCTCGAGTATTTGCACACTGGCTGCAGTCCTAGTATCATTCATCGAGATGTAAAAACAAGCAACATCCTCCTAGACATTAATATGAGAGCAAAAGTGTCAGATTTCGGACTTTCAAGGCAAGCCGAAGAAGATTTAACCCATGTATCAAGTGTTGCACGAGGAACAGTTGGCTACCTTGATCCAGAGTAAGCTACACATAATTACCCTTTCGTAAACAGTTATATTTTTTCTTCTTCATGTGCTTAGCTAATCATTCATATGTTGTCACAGGTACTATGCAAGTCAACAATTGACTGAAAAGAGTGATGTTTACAGTTTTGGAGTTGTTCTTCTGGAACTGATCTCTGGAAAGAAGCCAGTATCAGTAGAAGATTTTGGTGCTGAATTGAACATTGTACACTGGGTAAACTTCTCTGCTACTTTCATACATTTTTTTTTTTTTTTAGATTTCTGCTGTGAATTGAAGCACAAAACACCTGAGCTCTTTGTTCTTTTGCAGGCAAGATCCTTAATATGTAAAGGCGATGTGGTTAGCATTGTAGATCCTTTTCTGGTAGGGAAAGTAAAAATTGAGTCTATTTGGAGGATTGCTGAAGTAGCTATCCAGTGTGTTCAACAACATGGATACTCCCGCCCTAAGATGCAGGAAATAATATTGGCTATTCAAGATGCAAACAAGATAGAGAAAGGGAATGAAGGGAATCAAAAATTAGCTTCTGGTGGTTCCAGAGGGCAATCTGCTAGGAAAACATTGCTTGCAAGCTTTCTTGAGATTGAGAGCCCTGACTTATCAAACGGCCGCCTAGTCCCATCTGCCAGATAATTTTGTAGCAGCACCTGCTGATCTTTTGAGTATCATGATATGAATGCAATTTATTGGATACTTACCATGTATATCTGGAATGCAGCAACTACTGTAACACAGGCTTAGTGCTTTTAGGAAATCTAGTCTTTTACAGTGCTTATGCAATACAAGATAGAAATAGAAAGAGTGTTAACTTTTGGGAAATTCGTGGTCCAGCTCCAACTTTTTAGACCAAACAAAACACATGTGACATTATGGCAGTCAGATATGCAAATGGGTGTAACATATTGACCCAAATAACAGCCTTTTTATTGGAAAATTCTAGATGGGCAGATCATTGATTTCAATTATGATACAACCACTGTGAAAAATAGTGAACTGATTCACAAAAATATTTATCTTTTCTGGTACTTACTTTGCATACTTTTAAGTAAATTGCCTTTATGAAGCCAATCAAAGATGTGGAAATTATTGCACTGATCAGTACACCTGTATTAGTTCAAAAACATTCAAGTGAAACTGTCCTGGAAAGACCTTTGTCAAGCTGAAACTTTGAAAGATACCCAAGGTGTACCCTCCTCTACAGTTTGACCTTTCGGCCAAGCTTAGGGGATTGGTCCCGTCATCTAACTTAACCCAAAAGAATGTGAGAAAGTTAATGTGAAAACTGAACAAGAACCACGTGGAAATGATTAAATTATTAGATTAAATTATCTCCAATTGGATTCTCTTGTGTGCCCTTTACCAACCTTATGTATAAAGCAAAACATTGACAAACCCTTAATAATAATAATAATAATAATAATTACACGCTAATTAAATCTACACCATTAATTAATATGTCTGCGGAAGATAAACAAATATTTTGTTCTCAAATTTTAAATCCATAGTTCCAACTAAAATATAATTTGACCAGAAAATTTTGGGATTTCTTTGAATCAGAAGTCTAACTTGTCACCAAAATATTTAAAATACCCTACCCCTTATTATGTCTTTAGATGAATGATTATTGTACAATAATAACGATAAAAATAATGAATAAACAAAAATCCGTATAAGATAATGCCACGACGATTTTAATTATGATCTTATAATAAAAAAAAGAGTTGTACAGATCATCATCTTAATTGGAATCAGATACATTATTGTTAAAATATGGATTAAATAAGAGTTGGACAGATTATAAAAAGGGAAAGAAGGCTAGAAAAGCAAGGTTAAGATAAGAACAAAAGAACTAAATGAGGGCTTCCCCTACCAAACCATTTCATAGAAATAAACGCAATTCTTATACGTATTCCAGTATTCTCATCTCTCTTTTCTTTCTCCAACCACAATGTTTTAAACCTCCAAGCCAAACCCAAAGAACAAGTCTTTTCATTTTGTTGTTGTATTATTGGTTTTTGTTGTTGTATTATTGGTAATTGTTGTTTTTGTTCCTTCAGAGGGCCTTCTTTATAATCAGAAAAAGGATAAAGAGAGAAGGGTAAAGCAAGAGAGAAGCAAAAGACCATTGCTTTTCTTTTCTTCTTCTCTCTCTTACTCTCTGATGTCTTTGGTGGATTAGGTTCTTAAAAAAGGTAGAGCCAGTTGCTCTTCTTTGTAGATTCTTGTACCCTGACAATTTTCTTTGTTTCTCTTTTTTTTTTTTTGGGGGGGAGGGGGTGGGGGGGGTCAAGAAGAAAAGAGTACGATGTATTATCAGTTGTCCAAGTCTTCTTATCAGGATTCTTTGAAAATACTAGAGGCTGATATACAGCATGCCAATGCTTTGTAAGTTCTCTTTCTGGGTTTTTGATTTTCTGGCAAATTTAGTATTTTGATTTTTTTTCTCTTATCACCATCCCTGAAGTGGGTTGTGGACTTGTTCTCGTTTCTGCTTATTAGTTGCTTGCGTGGCTTTGATGATCATGATCATGATTAAAAAGCATAATTTTTTAGCTGCTCTGCTAGTTGTGTGGGAAAAAAGAAAGAAGGAAATACCCAGGTTGAATTTTTATGTTCTTCTTTACTCTTTATCATCGACTTTGGTTGGCCTGATGATATTTTTGTACTCTGACTGTGAACTTGTAGGGCGGTATAACCAATTGCAGATTTTTAACACAGGACCTAGTATAATGAATTGTCACCCAGTAATTCACATACAAGCTAAAATCTCTCCCTGCCTGCTAGTTTGGCTTGTTTGTACTGTGAAGTTTCTTCAGCTGTTAGGAGCTAAAGTAAATTTCAGTAATTTAATGGTATATTAATATCTGCATGTTTATGATAGGATTTTATCTCAAAAACAATACAGTTGGAAAGTTTGGCCTAGCTTTAGCTCATCATGAATTTAAGATGCTTTGGTGATTATTAGGTTAGAATGTGATTTAGATGTCTCCATTATAATTCATCTAAGGGAAATTTAATTTTAATAAGTAGAATGTTAATAGAATGTTTGCGTTTTTGGGGTTTTAGGGCTGCTGCAATTCCAAGAGCCAAGAGTGGTGCACATCTTCAAATGAAGTTGGTGTACAATCATTTGGCGCCCCTCTTTCTATTTTTGCTACAATGGATGAATTGTTCATGCATATGTCTACTCCCTCGATATCTAAACCTCTTTCACATTCTTGTATACAAGGTTTATTCTTCTTCCCTGGCTTATTTTGATTCCTTTTTTATTTGTATTTTTTGAATGGCAAGTGAATAATATTGTGCAATGCCAAATCAGGCCATTAAAAAGTGTCTTATTTTGATTCTTAAAGGATGGTTCAAATTAATTTCCATACTTATTTTTATGTGTCCTTAGATTTTTTTTCTATCTTATATGCTACAGGTATATACAGATGGGAGATCAAAGATATCTACACATGGAAGGAAGGCAACAGTTAGAGAGTTTTATGGTTTGTCTATAATCATATTTTGAGTTTTTTTTTTTTGGTGTTTTATGACCATGATTTCTAGCTATAATGATTTGTTATCCTTACCATCATCTCTTTCTGCTAATTAACTAAATTGTAGGTGTAATATTACCATCTCTTCAAAAGCTCCATGGTTACTTGGGGGAGTTGGATGATGATAAGAAAGGGCGTTTTACCATGGGGAGCTCTGGCAAGAAAAGAGTTGAATTAGATAACAGAATTGGGAATATTGATTTGGAGAGGGAAGATGAATGTGGGATTTGCTTGGAGCCATGCACCAAAATGGTCTTACCTAATTGTTGTCATGCAATGTGCATCAAATGCTACCGCAATTGGTAACTGGCAACCTCTTTTTATTCCTCTTACATCTCCATGCTTTCAAGTTTCACCCTTAATGGTTTTCTCTCCAAATTACAGGAATACAAAGTCAGAGTCCTGTCCTTTTTGCCGTGGTAGCTTGAAAAGAGTTAACTCTGAAGATTTATGGGTACTTACTTGCAATGATGATGTGGTTGACAATAAAACAGTTTCCAAGGAGGACTTGTTGCGATTCTACCTCTACATCAACAGCCTTCCAAAAGATTACCCGGATGCACTTTTCTTGGTATATTATGAGTACCTAATTTGATTTCAAGTAGTTGAGAAAATGGTGTACAGATAGAAAAGGCCGACCATCAAATGTAAATAGAGTTGGTAGGACAATTCTCTCTGCTTCTTACTGAAAAGAATCAGTGCCATTTTATGCTTTTCAGAAGTTAATGAACATCCGTGTAACAAACCGTTGTTAATTATTAATGGAAGTTGAAATTTCCGAAACTAGATTCTGTAATTGCCTGGTATTATTTGTTGAAAATGATTGGCAAAGCACCCTGAAGTGGACTAATTTATTAGCCAAAGCCATCAGGAGTCTACTGTCTTTTTTCGGAAATTTTTAATGACTGGTTGAAAAAGCATGTATAAAACAGATGGTTTATAGTAGTTTGATATTCCATCTTGAAAATGATTACAGTCTTTACCATATCTTAATGGTTCAGAAAAGGGAAAAAAGCATCATGCTGTGATACCAAGAACTCTCTTATAAAATTATTCATTTCTTGCTATGAGAGTTGCTATGTTTTCTCTGGGAATACCTGGTGGGGTTGCAATGTTAGAATTGGATGATGAAATGAATCAAAATTTAGCTAATTAGAAGGGAAAAAAACACGAATGCAAGACCATTGAGGAAAGAATGGACACTCCATCTGGTTCTGTTGCAGTTCACTGCCCTTGGTCCTTTGTACACTCCATCGGTTTTTCAGCTTCTTGTCAAACGCAGTTAATCAGTCACATCTGCAGCGGAAACCGGTGCAATGTGGTTGTCTTCCATGGTTCATTTTGCAGCAGAATCAATGCCATCTGTTTTCCTTCTGATTTTCGTTTGATTTTGGTATACCAAAACAACTTTGGGGCTTCAGCTGCGGCTAAGAGCTAATTTCCCCAATTTAATTGCTTGACGTAGTTGTTTCGGAGGGAGAAAATGATTCTATACAACTATTGGATAGAAATTGGACTTCATGAAGCCGCCACTGTAGCATTGAATATGTCGAAATGTACATAAAAAATACATCATTCTTGATTCATCAATGTGAACACCGGGCTGTCTGTAGAGCTACCAATCTACAGGTGAGAGACTAATTATTCATTGACAAATGACAATATTTACGTGCAAGGGAACTCGATCGACCTGAGACGAAGACAGAAGGTCTATTGGGGAAAGAAATTGTTGCCTTGGACTCTGCAAGCAGCCTAGTGATGGAGTGGTCTACATAAGCTTCTATATTTACTAGCTAGATGAGCAAAAGGTGGTTTGCAGGCCTTTGTGGAGGAAGAGACGAGTTATTTGTCGATGCCTTGCTTCTGTGAGATGAATCCCATCCTAGTGGATGTGACCAGCTGGGTTCCTGCAGGTAATGGTGTCAAGCATGCCACATAGACCGTGCAAGTTAAAAGTTGAGAAATCCATATCCACCTCCAACGCCACAAAATGCCTTGGATCCCTCTGAAAACCCAAAAGCCTGCAAGGCTCTGACCATCATGCCTCATTTTGCCTTGACAAGGTTGCTAATTGATATGTCTTATATAAAGGCTAGTTACATGATCGTATGAGTTTTCGATGGGTTAGACAAGAGGTGGTAGGTGATATTGAAATACTGATGAAAATTAGCTCATGGATTTTTTATATCTAATTCCAAGTGTTGAACGTTGCCCCATCCTATAATTGCTTAATAGGGCACTCGTGGATCCATAAGGCAGGAGCTATATCATCTTCTTTTCATCAGAAAGTTAAATTCATTAATGAAGGCCAATTGGTAAACATCTTTGCAGAGGAAGACATATTAGTCCTTTAATCCTTATTTACTTCCTACATAGAGGCAGCGGAAAAAGTCCTTGAACGCTCTTTCAAATCGTTTGAGTTTGTTAATGCTATTTATGTGGGAGATAGAGCAGTAATACAAACTCTACGTTTGTCAAGGGCAATTAAGATGAAAGTTAAACAAATGGTGGGAAAAGGGTGTTGTGCTGGTTTTAGGCTAGGAAAGAATATGTAAAGAATGAGGCAACCTTTAATTCCAATCAAGAATGAGGAAAGATTTGGCTTGGAGTACAAACCCATCAAAAAAGAAAGAAGAAAGTTGGCAATCTAGAAGAAAATCAAACGGATGGCTTAGCTCAAAGAGAAATAGGAAGAATTTGAGAAAAAGATGATCCCATACTTGTATGAAACCTCCATCCTGTAGAATACATTCATCTCGAAGCATTGATTAAGGTTATTGGTACATTAGAGAAAGCATCAGTTGAAGTTACTGACACTTTGGAGGAGGCATTTGATGAGTTGTCAATTCACATGGTCAAGGATGAAGATCCTAAAAAGAAGGACTTTTTGGTGCATTTAGTACAAAAGGACATTAAAAGTAATTTCTTATTTTAAATGGGGTTTTCTGTTACTTTAATCATATAAATAAATGACAAGCATGATTTGTTGTGGTATATTCTCTTTAATTGTTATTTATCACCTTTTTTTGCACATATTGTTTCCATTTATTCTTTTAACTAATATATATTTGCCTACACATATATGTCCAATTTCATCTATTCACAGGTCTCTAAATAATGAAGACAAAGACAATTTAGAGAACAGTTTGAATTTTGATTTCAAGAAAATTTCTAACATTAATGAACTGAAAAATGAAAAAAAAAGAGGATGATTATGACTTATCTCCTGATTTGTCGAGATTGTTAGAATAGGAAGAAAGAGAGATTTTACCTCATCAAGAACTCATAGAAATGATTAACTTGGGAAATGAAGATGATGAAAAGAGGTTAAGATTAGCACTTCACTATCACCTGGTGAACGGCAAAAGTTGAAAAAGTTGTTTCGTGAATACATGAATATATTTGTATGGTCATACCAAGATATGTGGGTCTTAATACTCATATCGTTGTTCACAAGTTGCCTTGAGACTAGATTGCAAGCCAGTTCATTAGAAATTGAGGTGAACGGATGTGGGGATCAATTAAATTTGGGGCACGAAATTGAGGATATTTTGATCTCTTCAGATAAGAAGTGTTATTGAAAAGATTAAATTCAATTGTACCAATAACATGGTAGAGTACGAGGCATTGGTAATGGGATTACAAGCAGCAATCGGTATAAAGGTCAACACAATCCATTCCCCACATCGATTTTTGCTTGCAATGGATGTGATTGGGCTCATCACTTCAAAAGCTTCTAATGTACATTGATGTGGGGAATGGATGTGATTGGGCTCGTCACTTCAAAAGCTTCTAATGGACATCGATTTATATTAGTGGCCATCGATTACTTCACAAAATAAGTAGAAACAGCTTCCTATGCTAATGTAACACAAATAATAGTATGCAAATTCATAAAGAAAAAGATAATATGTCGATATAAGTTGCTAGAAAGGATTATTACTGACAACGCGAGCAATCTAAATGGTACAATAGTAAAGGAAGTTTGTGCTAAATTCAAGATCATGTATCACAACTCGACAGCTTATTGTCCAAAAATGAAAGAAATAGTGGAGGCAACAAATAAGAATATCCAAAGGATAGTAAAAAAAAATGACTGAAGTTTATAAAGATTAGCATGAGAAACTTCCTTTTGCTTTGCATGCATATCAAACTTCTGTGCATACCTCCACAAAGGCAACACCATATTCACAAGTATATGACATGGAAGCAGTACTACTCGTTGAAGTGGAAACCTAATCATTGAGTGTTAACGGAGACAGAATTGGAAAAAGTTTGATTGAGGAAAAAAGACTCGTTACATTTTTATCATAGAAGTAATGTGGAGATATTCAATATCACTTTCATTTGCTGTTTCAATATCATATCCATTTAGACGAATATCTTTAAAATTTAACATATTTTTTTGAGACTTAGTAGAATATAATGCTTTATTGATTATAACTTTTGTTCTTCTAGGTAGTAATATATTGGCCCTTCCAGAACCTTTAATTAATTTTATACTATCAAATATTATATTGATATTGGTTTCTTTTAATTTTAAATGAGAAAAATATTTCTTATCTTTAAAAATAGTATATGTTGTAGCACTATCTGTTAGACATATATCTTTATAATTGATCTTTGATCTAATGAGAGAAATATCTATATTTCCTCTAATAAAACTAGACATATAATAGGAAATTTGAAAGTTAACACAAAAGAACATTATATATTTTAATACATGAATATATTATTTACATGTAACAAGAACATAAACAAATGCATTTTCCTAGTAGACTAATATTAAAACATATTAATAAACTCATTAGTAAATTTCATTTTTGAACGTTTCCATCATCATCACCAATCATAGCATCACCAATTAGATAATCAATTCATTTTTTAGGATGAACATAAAATTCAACAACATCCAAATGTGTTACATTAACTTAATCATCATTGTATATTAAATGAGCAGAAAGAGCACTATTACTAATAATTTAAAAAAAAAGTTTAATTTTTTTGGTTCCATATGTTAAACACTCATATTGAAGACTAACTTCAAGTTTGAGTCATTAATTATTTTTTTTAATTAAGAAAATAAATGAATTCAAAGTTTTTATTATATCTAATGTTATTTTTTATAATGAATTTTTATTATTTTGATTAAATTTCATACAATTTTTGTTTACTTGTACCTTACACTAATGTACTATGAGTTTGCTAAAAAGTACAGAAACACACAGTTTTTACTTTTTTTACTGTCATTTTAGGATATATTAAAACGTGAAATGCTTCAAGATGAATGTTTTCTTTTTATAAGAAATGCTAGGACACTTAATATAATATATTTTATAATTTTTTATTTAAATATTGAATAAAATAGTTTTTAAAATAATAATTTAACTAAAAAGATATTAAAAATATATTTACTGAACATATTTATTATTATTATTTTATTATTATTATTATAATTAATTTTCTTAGATAACGTTGGTATGAGAAAAGTGAGAGTATATAATTTAAAATATACCTAAGTAAATTATATTTATTTTGCAACAAACCTATGTAATGTAAGATTGTAATACAATCATGTACTGCCAACAGAGGTAGTGTGATTATAATAAAAAAACTAATGCAATCAAATTGTATTGTATTCTGTAATATTATTAAATACATTTTTACCTTTTAATTTTTTTATCTTGTTAAAAACATTATATAATGTTATAATTTATTTTTTATATAAATTTTGAAAGATTTTTTTATTATTCTTAATAGTTATAGTGACTGTCAATAAAATTTTTATTATCTTTTGAAGAAAAAAAATTAAAATAAAATATATAATATAATAAATTATATTAACAAATAAAAATAAAATATATAAAATTATATTAAAAATAATATAAATTAATAATAAAAATATAAATATATTAAACTTATATTTTAATAAATAAAAATAATTTTAAAAATAAACATTATATTTTTAATAAAATACTTATAAATTAAATACTATAATATTATTTTTTTATATTTTATATTTTATTTTACTTATATACTAAACACTATCATATTATTTTTTTCTAAAATCACCCTAATTACAATTATATATAATCACATTTCAATGTAAAATATCAAACATCATCTAATTTTTAGCTTATTTCAATCAACTTTTCAACCAATGCCATGAGAGGACAAATCATGGACCGCATGTCACGTGTGAACTTCGTCAAACAAATCATTGACCGCGTGAAAAGAGTGATCCTTATGAAATAGAGACAGTCAGACGGCAACGCCAAGAATAAAAACATCAATAAAAAAATTAATAAAATAAAAAAATTATTACTGCATAAACTGCAAATTCTCGAATCTAAGCACAATCAGGATCTCATCTGTGCATCACTTCACTGTAGAATTTAGATTCAGGTCAAATCTATTAATCTTCCTTGATTTCTTGGATTTTTTTATTCATTTTTTTTACGTATTAAATTGTTATGGATTTTTCTTGCAGATCTTGAGTTGTTTCTATTTATTATAAATTTATATGACAAGTAGAAATGTCGGAAAATCACGATTGGGAGAATTCTGGAGCTGTTGAAAATGGAGCAATTTACCCTCAATCTTCGACTAATCAGGTTTTGTTTTTAGGAATGTTTTTCAATTGAAATCTAATTTTTTGTCATTGTTAATAGGGAAAATGTGCAATTTGGTATATTTATTTTTTTAAGTATGATTTATTTTGTTTTGTAGTCAATACGGGAAGCGGAATCTATTGAGTTGTCTCATGTTGATAGCAAAGAAGATATGTTTGTGGATGCTTCAGATGAGTTGAATAATGATAATAGGGAAGCTGGAACTCCAACTGCGCGTGAAAATGAGGTCGTTATAGAGGAACAGAACGCGGTAGCTAGACAGTTCGATGACGTGGATAATATTGCACACAATAGTGAAGATAATCACTTTGTCAGTGAAATGGAACGCATGCGCGCTTTGCTGGAGCAGGCTGTTGATGACAAGGAGAAATTTGAAATCAGATACAAGGTTTTGTGTGTTTATTTAGTGTGTGTGCGTGTTGGTCAATGATTTTTATGTTTTACTTAGGGTTTTACTGTGTGCAGGAAGAGAGGGAGGCGCTTGAGAAGGAGATTTATATGAAGGATCAAGAGATTGAAGGGCTAAATGCGAAGTTTATGAGTTCCATAGCAGAAGCAGAGAAGGGGGTTTATGTGGAGAAGAACCAGCAATGTGAGGTTGCACTGGAGAGGATTTTGGCTGCTCTTGGGTCGGTTGTTGATCAAGGAGAATTGTTTGGTGATCCTGGTGGGGAGCAGATTGACCTTGTTGAGAAAAGCACTTTGGCATTAATTGAGAAGTATAAGCAGTTTCTTTTTGAGGTTAATCAACTTAGGCAGTGTTTGACAAAGGCTGAATCCGATTTTGGTGTGCAGGAGTTTAGTACTGTATTTGTTGCTGCACGTGATGAGTTATTTGAGTTCAGGAGGAAGGAAGCAGAGCTGGTTGCAAAAATAGGTTTTTTGGAAGATGAAAATAGGAAATTGCTTGAACAAGTTGAAAGTGAGAAAGGGACGGTGGAGATGCTAAATTCGGAGCTTGGAAAAGCAAAGACAGAGGCTGAGCAGGAAAAGATGAGGTGTGCTCATACCAAGGAAAAGCTGAGCATGGCTGTGACAAAAGGGAAAGCTTTGGTTCAGCAGCGGGACTCACTGAAGCAGTCTCTGGCTGATAAAACAAGTGAGCTTCAGAGATGTTTGGTTGAATTGCAAGAGAAGTCGAGTGCCCTCGAAGCTGCTGAATTACTGAAGGAAGAGTTGGTGAAGAGTGAAAATTCGGTTGCATCATTGCAAGAATCACTCTTGCAAAAGACCTTGGTTGTTGAGACATTTGAACACATCCTGTCCCAGATTGATGTACCGGAGGAACTGCAGTCAGTTGATATTGTGGGAAGAGCTAGATGGCTTGTTAATGAAAGAAATGAACTGAAGGGTGTTTCCTTGGACTTCTACAGATTGAAAGATACCATTTATGCAATTGATTTACCTGAAAATGTCTCCTTTACTGATTTAGATTCTCGTTTGGGTTGGCTTAAGGAATCTTTTTACAGGGCTAAAGATGAAATAAATATGTTGCAAAATGAAATTGCCACAACAAAGGAAGCTGCATGTGATGAGATTGATCATTTGAGTGCTTCACTTTCGACTGTACAACAAGAGAAGGATTACATTAAGGAAGAGTTAGATCAACTTGGAATTAAATATGAGGAAATTGTTGGCAAGGTGCATCAGATATCATTGGACAAGGATCATTTAAGTGCTTCACTTGCAGGAGAACTGACAGAGAAGGATTATATTCAAAAGGAGTTGGATGACCTTACAAGTAAACATGAAAAGGTAGTTGAGAAGGTCCATCAACTTTCATCAGAGAAAGCTCAGATGTTAAGGATGCTGGTTGAGGGTTCTGGAATAATGATGGATGATCAAGAGGGGATTGAGGACACTTCTTCTAGTTTACCCATTCTAATTGATAGGTGCTTTGTGAAGATAAAAGAACAAACGAGTGCCTCTTCGGATACTCCTTTTGTGGATGCAGAACTATTTGAAAATCTTCGAAGTCTTTTGTATATTAGGAACCTGGAGTTGATGCTTTGTAAGGAAATACTAGACGAAGATAGTCTGGCAAGGTCACAGCTGAATGATCTGTCAAATCAGTTCACAGTGGCTTCTCAGGAACTTTTTGTGCTGAAGGAGGAGAAAGATGTGCTGCAAAAAGATCTTGAACGATCAGAGGAGAAATCTGGTCTGCTGAGGGAAAAGTTATCAATGGCAGTTAAGAAAGGAAAGGGATTGGTTCAAGATCGGGAAAACTTGAAACTTCTTCTTGAGGAAAAGAACTCAGAAATTGAGAACTTGAGGCTAGAGTTACAACAGCAAGAATCTACCGTTGCTGAGTGCAGGGATCAGATCAGTACTTTATCTAATGATTTAGAGTGCATCCCAAAGTTGGAGAGTGATCTTGCAGCTATGAAAGAGCAAAGGGATCAATTCGAGAAGTTCTTATTTGAGAGCAATAACATATTGCAGAGAGTAAGCGAATCAATTGATCGCATTGTTATTCCAGTTGATTCAGCATTTGAAGAGCCTATAGCAAAGCTGAACTGGCTTGCTGGGTATATTGATGATTGTCAGACTGCCAAGACACAGACTGAACAAGAGTTGAGGGAAGTAAAGGAAGAGGCTAGTACCCTTACTGTCAAGCTAGCAGAAGCCCAAGCAATTATCAAATCACTGGAAGATGCATTGGCTGTTGCAAACAAAGATTTATCTCAACTTGCTGAAGAGAAGAGGGAGTTGGAATTTTGTAAGAAAAATATAGAAGTAGAGTTGCAGAAAGCAAATGAAGAAACTCATTCACAAACTAACAAGTTTGCTGAGACTAGTGAGGCTAGAAAGTCACTTGAGGAGGCATTGTCACTGGCAGAAAATAACATTTCCTTGCTTATCAGTGAGAAAGAGGAGGCTCAAGGTAGCAGAGCTGCCTCAGAGATGGAGGTGGAGAAAATGAGGGAGGAAGTTGCTATTCAGACCAGCAGGCTCACAGAAGCATATAATACTATAAAGTCACTTGAATATGCACTTTCTCAGGCAGAGATGAATGTTGCTTCACTAACTGAACAAAGTAACAATTCACAAGTGGAAATAACCAACTTAGAGAATGAGCTAAAGAAGCTAAAAGATGAAACTGAGACCCAGAAAGCAACAGAAATAGAGTTGCAGAAAGCAATCGAGGAAGCTCATTCACAAACTAACAAGTTTGCTGAGACTAGTGAGGCTAGAAAGTCACTTGAAGAGGCATTGTCACTGGCAGAAAATAAATTTCCTTGCTTATCAGTGAAAAGAGGAGGCTCAAGGTAGCAGAGCTGCTTCAGAGATGGAGGTGGAGAAAGTGAGGGAGGAAGTTGCTATTCAGACCTGCAGACTTAGAGAGGCATATAACACTATAAAGTCACTTGAAAATGCACTTTCCCAGGCAGAGATGAATGTTGCTTCACTAACTGAACAAAGTAACAATTCACAAGTGGAAATAACCAACTTGGAGAATGAGCTAAAACAGCTAAAAGATGAAACTGAGACCCTGGCTAGCAAGCTGGCAGATGCTGGCACGACCATTAAATCACTAGAAGATGCATCGGTTAAGTCAGAAAAGGATTTTTCTGCACTTCAAGGTGAGAAAACAACTGCTGATCAGGAGATATCAACTCTCAATTCGAAACTGAATGCATGCATGGAAGAGTTGGCGGGAACCAGTGGCAACTTAGCAAACAGATCCATAGAGTTGATTGGTCATATTAACAATCTTCAAATGCTCATTGCAGACCAAAGTTTGTTGTCTACGATAAAACAATGCTTTGACAGGAATTTGGAGCACTTTAAAGTCATGGATCTTACCATTAAAAACACAAGGGACCATTTGGTTGACAAGGATTTAGAACTGCTGCAAGGTCAACCACTCATGGAGGTGATACCGAACTTTCCTTTTTCTTTTAGCTCCTGAATGAGTTGAAGGCATTTATTATTATTATTATTATAACTGGCTCTTTTCATTTACTACAGGATATCGCTCATCTAGCAAGACGTTTCTCCATTGATATCGATAATACTGTGAACATTGAGATGGAGAATGATGAAGCAAATGCGGTACATGCTAATGATGTTTCTTCAGGTTTTAGAAGGACTGCAGAAGGGTTCCAGTTGCGAAACAAAATCCTTGCAGATAGTTTTGAAGGTTTTTCAACCTTCCTAGATGAGTCAATAGCAGCCTTGTCAAAAAAATTACAGGCAGCAAAGGATGAGGTAAAAAGTATGGTCGAGAATATGGAATCCTTGAAACAAAATGTCAAAAACCTGGAAATGCGTGAACAGGAAAAGGAGAAAGCTATAGCCATGTTACGGAATGATTTTGCCATTTTATTCTCTGCTTGTACAGATGCAACTACAGACCTGCAGTTTGAAGTTAAGAACAATCTTATAGAATTTAGCTCTCTTCCTGGGCTTGAAAAATTGAACCATGTTTTGCACCCAGAAGTGGAAGAATTTGTTGGAGATGACATGGCTCAGACAGAGGTTGCTGGCAACAAATATGCTAAGACAGCTGAGAAGTTGTTGACTGCTACTAGAAAAGTTCAAAGTCTGGCAAAGTTGTTTGAAACTACAAGTACAGCGGTGGCCACTATCATTCATAATTTACAGAAAGAATTGGAAGATACCAGGAGCACCTCTGAGAAAGCCATTGAAGAAAGAGACATATATCAAAGTAGGGTTTTCAAGTTGGAGAGTGATGTAGAAGCATTAGAAGATTCATGCAGAGAAGTGAGGCTTAAGTTAGAGGATTATCAGGCCAAAGAGGACAGATGGAAAGAAAAAGAGTCAGAACTTTCATCATTGAACCTTAGTTTGTTGATGAAAGAAAAAGGTAAATGTCTTCCTTCTCACCTTGTTAATCTTGTGCTCTTGATTGTCAATCGTCATTAATCTTTATTATGTTCTTGTTTATCATATTGTTGTTACAGAAGCTGAAGAGCCTTTCCTGTCAGCATCTCAATTAAGAACTCTATTGGACAAGCTAAGTGGGATTGAAACTCCTCTTGTCGAGTCAAAAGACCTGGAGCCCCATACCTCAGCTGATGTTAAGAAACTGTTTTCTGTTGTTGATAATTTCACTGATCTGCAGAATCAAATAAATTTGCTATCTTATGAGAAGGAAGAACTACAGTCTACACTTTCAAGACAGATTTTTGAAATTGAGCATCTTAAAGAAGAAATTGGAAAAAATGTTAGAAATAAGCCAGACTTGGAAGAGATGAAAACGGAGTTGTCTGAGGTTACATATGGTTTGGAGAAGATCATTGCTGTATTGGGAGGTAAAGAGTTTACTGGAGGCCAAAATTCTGTTGGTATGAAAGCACTTTTACCTGTTTTAGAAAAACAGGTTAATACGCTGTTGTTGGAGGCTGAAAATTCAAAATACAAAGCACAGGAACTTGGTACCAAGTTGCTTGGAAGCCAAATGATTGTGGATGAATTGTCAACTAAGGTTAAGTTACTTGAAGATTCTCTTCAGAGTAGGACTGTGCTGCCTGAGATTGTCCAGGAAAGGAGCATCTTTGAAGCACCTTCAGCACCCACTGGTTCAGAAATATCTGAAATTGAAGATGCGGTACATACTGTTTCTTACAACATTCTCATTATCAACTTAATTTATGAAGTTTATCTTGTCGCTATGAACTGTCTGTGGTTTGATACATGTATTACTAGCTTGTTTTATTCAACTAGCATTTTAGTTATTGTGTCCTCAGTATTGTGCAGATCTAGCTGTCTAAGATGATGCCTTGAAATCATGCATAAAAAAAATAAAGAGTTGGGTTGTAAGCTGCTTACTTGAGTTGTGATTCTTAGGCAGATATTTAAGTTTATTTTTTAGGATATTAAAAAATATATTATGCATGGCAGTTCAAGTGACCCCACTCAATTCTTAAAATGCTTAATTTGTAATTCATGGACAAGTACTATATCAAAGGTAACTGCATGAGATAATATCTCATTGTAATAATTTTTTTATATGTACTTAATTTTTTTGAATAATTAAAACTTTTGGGTTTAAATGCAAAACTTTATTTAATAATACAATGTGAAAAAAGTATGTTCATATAATGCAAATTATATTTAAGAACCCACTGAAATTTTTTTCTAAGTAAGCCACTGCTTACTGATAGCTTAAAATTATATGTATGAATGATTCTTTAGTTTAAGTGCAGTGTAAAAGATCTATTTTTTGTGAATGAAACTGCTTCAATGATTACCATACTGTTTTACTTTATGACAGATTTAGTTCTTTGACCGAAATGTTTTATGGCTCGTAGTGATCTCAGAGAACTTAATTATGAACTTTTCATGTACCAAATGACTGATTGATGTAATCTTTGATTCTTAACTTGATTATATGTATTATTAGGACATCTTCAAGTGATAGTTGGATATTCGATCCTCTACATTGAGAACAGTGCATGTTGGTAGATGAGGATTTCAGTGTCACTTCCCAATAGTACAGTGTGTGAATATGGAATTGGATGGATTAGGGAAATTTTTTTTTGCAATGCATGTTTGATGAAATCATATGGGAAATGTTTGAATTAGTTTGTGGTAACTAATATTGTTGTAAAGAAAAAAAGTGGTGATAGTTACAGACTGTTACTTGCATAATCATGTGACTCTTTGAACTGTCTGTATATTCATTTCATGATGATGTCACTCCCAAATGGAAATGCTTTCCTTTTGTAAATTTGAAGCATATCTCTCTCTCCCATTTAAATCTGAAACTGGATTTCTCAAGTGTTTTGTATTCTGTTTGCTTCAACTGATAGTGTCATACATCCCTTGCAAATTCTGCTATTGGAGATCTAATAACTTTTTTATGCTTATGCAGGGATCACTTGGAAAGAGTACAATATCTCCTGTGCAATCAGCTGCTCACGTGCGAACTATGCGAAAAGGATCAACGGACCATCTTGCACTTAATATTGACTTGGAATCTGATCGCCTGATAAACAATGAGGAAACTGATGAGGACAAAGGTCGGCATTCCTTAGAATGCCTTCTCTTTTTTTTTTTTTGAAAAAATAATTTCTCATTAGTACAAGTCTCAGAATTTGCAGAACTTAAACATATGCACCCATTTTTTGGCAGGTCATTTGTTCAAGTCTCTCAACACATCTGGCCTCATCCCAAAACAAGGAAAGTTGATTGCAGATCGAGTTGACGGAATTTGGTAAAATGCTCTACCCATTTTATGAGGGAAAGGGGAAAATTCTTTTTTTCTTCCTAGAGGGAATATTAAGTTCTTGCTTTCTATGTAATTTACTTGTTTGCTATGATCTTGACATCTGTTTTGAATTGCTACAGGGCATCTGGTGGCCGAGCTCTAAGTAGTCGTCCCAGAGCAAGACTAGGCCTCATTGCCTATTGTCTTCTCCTGCATATATGGCTAGTGGGAACCATTTTGTAACCAAGATTGCGATCATCAATCCTCTGGACCAAAGCCTTACCATTTCGTGATCAGCTCCTGAAAATTGTATAATAGATAATATCGTAGTCATTCTTTCTCATTCTTTTGTTTTTCCCTCATCTAACTCTTCTTAACATATGGTGCCTATTAGGTTGGTATACATATTCTTACCATTATATGCATTCTTTGCAATAGCCTTATTTTAGAAACCGCAGAGAATGTAAGGTTCAAATTGTCAAGGCAATAAGTCAGCATTGTGCCTCTGTTGTCTGAAGTGAGACATTGAGCATATGCAATTTGTGATGGATCATAGACAAAATTGAGATACAAGTGTTCTTAGATGTAGTTTTGAAATATGTCCTGCCATCGTTTTAGGTAACATGGCCCTTCATGGTTGTCGTCATATTACACAGTGACGCTGATACTTTCAAGTCGATTTTAGCCTCCTATTGCGGGCCGCTTTGGTGAAGGTTTAAATCCGCTAAGAGGTCTTGAAAATCGTTGTTAATAATCATAAAAAAATAGAAAGTGTTGTAACCAGTAGGAAACACAGATGTTCGACTTGTTCGTCTGTTCTTCAATCTTGGGACTTAACGTTTTCTTTTTTAAAAAAAAAAAAACGAAAAGATGGCATTTGAAGACCCAAGTAGGCTCTACGCCAGTACTTCCGAAACTAAGCTTCCAATATTCCACGTGGCTTGGAGTTAAACGCGAGGAAGGGAAAGGAAGAGGAGTTTAAGGCGTCATCTCATCTCATGGTTAGTTTCGGAGGCATTGGATATTTGATATTTTGTATTTGCGCTCCACTTGCATTCTTCCTCATCCTCCTTGGTCCTTAAACATGACATTATAGCTTTTTTGTTTTTGGTAATTTGACATCTACATCTTCTAATTCTAGTTGGGAACGTAGAAAAGAAGCATTAGAATACTGCAGGAAAAAGGTTTGGCTTCCATTGAGTTTCTCTCGCCCTCTCTCCCTCCTCCTTTCTTTTCGTGTTCTACTTATCTCGTTTTCTTTAAAAATTGGGGTGTAACAGATTAAAGGTACATCCATTTGGATTCGGAAGCTG